GAGAGAGAGAAAGAGAGAGAATACACTTTAGTGCACACCAAAGCACAATTTCCTTTAAAAAAACAGTCAAAAAGCAGATACATTTGTACAATAGACGGTCTTATCGCTAAAAGCGATCTCTTCCAGACAACCGTTTAATTTACAGAAATTCTGGAAAATATAAAAATATTGCAGGTATGTTGCGGTGTACTATAGACATACTATATACATTATTATAGAAAATATACACATACAATAAACAGATATACAAACAGATATAAACTGATTTATATACCAATATACATGTATGTATGTAGGTATACACGTAATAAATGATGATCTAATTATTCTTTTTTCATTGAAAGTGTATATTTTTGCGTTAATGCATGTAAGACATTAACATTAGATACCTACGGCTAATGATAAGTGCCTACTTATACTTATGAGATAAATCTAAGAGACTTTCTTATGAAAAATGTTCTTTTGAATTCGCAACAATAAAAGCTTTCGCAAAGTAATTTTGTAGCGCTGTAAAGATCAAGCCAAGATTATTTTTATCTACTACGAGGGAACTTGGATGTAATTACATTTTTACGTTTCGCATTTCATGGTTATTTTCATATTTTAGGGCAGCTTTAAGAAAGTTACACCGATCAATTCATGTTTGTAATATTGTTCTCTAACGAAAAATGTTTATTTTTTATTTTTTATTGCTTAGATGTGTGGACGAGCTCACAGCCCACCTGGTGTTAAGTGGTTACTGGAGCCCATAGACATCTACAACATAAAAGCCGCCACCCACCTTGAGACATGAGTTCTCAGGTCTCAAGATACAGCAGCTGCACCACCCTTCAAACCGAAACGCATTATTGCTTCACGGCAGAAATAGTCGGGGCGGTGGTACCTACCCGTGCGGACTCACAAGAGGTCCTACCACCAGTAAAAAATGTTAGTTACTAACTGTTACATCTCAGGCGGGTACCAATTTTTCTAATGAAATACGTACTCAACAAATGTTCACGATTGACTTCCACGGTGAAGGAATAGCATTGTGTAATAAAAATCAAACCCGCAAAATTATAATTTGCGTAATTACTGGTGGGAGGACCTCTTGTGAGTCTGCGCGGGTAGGTACCACCACCCTGGCTCTATTTCTGCCGTGAAGCAGTAATGCGTTTCGGTTTGAAGGGTGGGGCAGCCGTTGTAACTATACTTGAGAACTTATATCTCAAGGTGGGTGGCGCATTTACGTTGTAGATGTCTATGGGCTCCAGTGACCACTTAACCAGGTGGGCTGTGAGCTCGTCCATCCATCTAAGAAAAAGAAAAAAAAACAGTTGTGGAGAATCAACGATTGTCAACATTATATCAACCTCTATTCATCCGTTGTCTTTCTTTGGTTCTAAAGTTTCGAGCCCCTTCCAATAAAGGCTTAAGGGAACGACAAGAGCCCAAATGATGTGTTAACGCTCAAAACGTCCCTTAAAACCAGCAGCCAAGTCTCAAAGGGTCTTGCTTGTGCTTCATTATCACTAATTTATACCATACAATGGATGGTATTTGTATCTTGATATCTGCCAAATTAATATTAGACCCGAAAAGGGGGGTTCTTCGTCTGCAAAATATCAATATCAACCACAGTAGAGCAACAACAGTGCTCCTGCCTTATCATTTATAAACCTCACGTTTCATTCACCATAAAAACATTAAAATACCTAATTGTAACATTAAGATGTCAATTTAAATTGTAAAAATCCTTTAATTATACCCACTGTAACCCAAGTACCCAATAGAAGAAAAACCAGCAAAAACTTCTTCTTTCTTCTTCATGAATTTGGTAAACGTACGGGGTCTTCTGCAACTTTTTTATTGTCCTTGTAGGCAGACGAGCATACTCTTCACCTGATGGTGATTGGTCACCGTCGCCCGTGGACGTCAGCAATACCAGGGGCAAAGCCAAGCCGCTGCCTACCGTTTTTAGGCTCAGACGAGTTCGCAACCTTCCATGGCTCTGAGCGGTTTCCTGAGCGTGTACCTATCAAAATGTGGATACCGGTAACCATCAATCATCGAAGTCACTTTTGACGCAAACAACCCAAAACGACAATTATATTTAACAAAATAATTTTGTTATCCGCTTACGTCTAGCCAGTACCCATAATAAGCTTCAGAAATAGTAACCCTGCACTCCGAATGAGGTTCATTTCCTCAAAAGGAGGCTGGTTATAGGTAAAGCGCTTATCACTGAGAAGTCCATTCTAAGCCGATTTTCAAAATGTCGAATTATGAGAGTTCTTGAAATTGAATTTTAAGTTTACCGTCGCTTTGATACATTGAGAATCTATATTAACATTTTAAATGTGAGAGTTGATAAGTTTGGTTGTTTGTAACTCAATCACTAATAAAAGGTTTAATGTATTTTTATAAAATTAGACACCCGCAAAAAGACAATTTATTACCTAGGTTTACACACAGAGGATACTTTCTCACATGACTCAGACAACTATATCTGCTGTATAGTACATGACAGTATGTTCGGTGGTTCATGATGGAACTTCATGACGGTTTGGCATTAGTAAGTATCTCAAGACAGCGTCAGAACCCTTCCTCAAGAAAGCGGCGCGGCACGATAACCCTCTTATCGTGGCTACCTAGAATTACATAAACGACGCAGACGACCGGGCAACGCACAACCGCCGTCGCCCTGTACATGTAATTTCGGATTCTCCCGACCCACTCACGGTGCTTTTAGGTATTTAAGCACCGGGCACTGTTCTCGTGGAAATCGTCGAATGCAACGAAGAGTTCAACCCGCAACCTAACCCATAGATACATCCCACTAAGTTTTCCACCGGATCTTCTCAGACAATTGCGATTCCGATCTGGTGAAAAATTCAGCGAAACACAGTTCTTGCTAATGGCAAATGTTAGCTAACTGTCTCAGGATGAGTCACATGAGCTCACCTACCCGCCCGGAGAAACTGTAATAGGCCCTAGAGACTACCAGCGATTAGGTAATGAAAAAAAAATGTTCGTTATAGTATGTACTAGCGGATCTACAATTCGACCACTAGCTTATGGATCACAGAAACAAAAGCAATTCCTTATCCCGAAAAAATGCTGTTTAATTCCTTTTATATTACAAATTCGACGTCAACGAAACCGCGAGGCAGGTCTAATTGGTAATAATTGGGTATGAATATTGTAAACAAACTTTTTGAGTGCACTATACCTACGTGTTTGTACAGCTTTGTGCCTAATAACAGTCCACTTCAAATTTGCTCAGTTGTTGCAGATCCATGAACAAAAGGATTCTACCTAAAAATATTGAGGTCGATAAATTAAAAATTCAGTGTTTTAAGAATGACGTGGACGATCATTTTAAATATCATAATGAAATTAATTTAAGAAGTTGTCTAATAGCAGTTTTGATTGAGTTTAGGCCCGTTTTCATGCGTTTCCGTTAAGTTGAAACTCGCATATCATACTTGTCGTCTAGTCCGCGTGAGGTTTTTAACACATTTTATTCATTTCCTGTTTTAATAATTTTAGGATTTTCGAGTACTTTATTAACAACTTCTCGTAAAAAGGGGGGCGAGCAAAATTTGAAACCTTTTTTCGCCATGTCACGCCATTAAAAGAAAAGAAAAACAGTTAATATGTATTACCTCGTTCGACAATATAAGCTGTTATAAAATGTCAAAGGAATACGAAAAATATTTCAAGCTATCATTATAACTCACTGAAGTATGAAACCTATTATAAAGGTCTATGCTAAAACTATCTAACAAATTACTCAAAGAGAATAATCATCATACATTTTAAAGACAGTAGTCAAGTCAAATCTGAAGTTGACGCCATTTGGCAAGTTATATATTTCAATAGGCAAAACAATAAGTAGAAAATTGTTAGTTAGAAAATTTATAAAAATGGATGATTCGAATACTTTAGATCAGGAAGATGAATTCGAAAAGTATTTGGAAATTTTAAAAAGTTATTTGAACGAGCTTCAAGATCAAAAGCTTCTTGAAATCTGTAGTGCATGGGTTGTAAGACTTTCAGCATGTAGAGACGATGAAAAATCCTTACGTAATAGATACATTTTTTCTTTATGTTATCAGTTATCTAAAGGTGTTTTAGATGATCCATTTACGCAATCGCCTTCAGCGAACATTAATTTGCCGCCTCTAGTAGACAGTTTACAAAGCGAAAATTCATCTGAAGTGGAATATGCGGTGATAAACCCATATGAACCTAACTCCCTGGCCAATGAAGACGACGTTGATAATTTGCAAAATCATAAATTAAGTTTAAAGACAAGCAAAACTTTTGAGACAACAACGAGACCTTCAAGGAGTATTAATGATTTCAATCGAAAAATCCTACATTGTAATTGCCCCGCTCAGTCAGAAGATAATCGGTGTTCCTCTGCGGAATATCAATTCAGGACTGCTAGTCTAATTAGAAAACTTCGTGATATAAAGGCTCAAAATAGCTTGTTGCATAACGAGTTGGAATCTTTGAGACACGATACACTGCCATCCCAAAATAATTGCGAAGAATGTAGCATTAATAAAACTAATCGTTCTACTAGTATTCTAACGAAAAACGATAGTAATTCTACATTGAATTCTTATAGAACTAAAATGAAAGAAATACAAGCATCCAGAAACAGTTTAATCGAAACGATTTCAGAACTACAGAACAAATTAGATAATTTTGAAGAACTAAAAAGACATGAAATTAATGATATCGAAGCTAAACATAAATTAGAAATCATCAAATTAAAATCTACAGTCAGAGAGGAAATTACAAACGTTTACGAAGAAAAAATAGAACAATTAAAACTGCATTATGAAAATACAATGAACGAGATGCAAGAAAAAGCGAGTGCGGACACCAAAGGATGTATGTGTAAAACTAACGTTGCTGGGAAAAATAAAATAATACAAGAAAAAGAAAATGAAATATCCAAACTTAAAATACTTATTCAGGAGCAAAAGAAGTACATAGAAAATATAATGAGTAAAGTTTTAGATGATTCCGCGGATAACTCCAGCAACGAAAACGTAAAACACAAAGGCCTGGTACTAGAAGAACGTTTACATAAACTTGAAAAACCGAAATCGAAATGCAGCAAATGTTACGAGAACAAACTGGCAAATCTACACAGAGAGAAGAATTTAGGCGAATGCACAATGCAACTTCAATTAGTTAAACATAGGGCTCGGGTGGCTAGAGAAACGACAGACGAAAATCAGATCGAATTGAATAAAGCATTAGATAAATTGGAATCTAAATACAAAGAGATTGTAGCGAACGTACAATCAACTGCCATTCAGAGGCGCATGCAGGATCAAATAGCATTGGATTCCATTCTACAAGCGGCCTGTGGGTTCAAAACCGTTTGTCCGAATGCTAACAGTCAATTTTCAGGCAAAACCGTACGCAATCAAAACCGGACCTGCGACACTGATAATGTATCTATGCAGCTTAGGGATAAGGTTGAAAATAAATCTGTAGAGGCGGACAGCCTCATCACTGGATACAGTTTAGACGGAGAAAGAATGGAAGCATTGTTTCAAAGGCTGTATATTACTCAGGACGGACGAGGATCAGTGAAATAGTTTAATATTATTATTTGTTTCTAGGTCTATCGCATTAAATGGATATAAGGACGATTTTCCCCATAAAAATAAAACATATTTGAGGTTTGGAATATTTTCACCATTAACTTTGGCTCTGGATTATTTATAAATATGGTTTTGCTGTTGTAAAGGATCAAGCTTACCTTTTATTGTGGGAAAGCTGTATAGCAACACGCAGCCTATTAGGCAAACCTAAATGACTTTTATGTTTTATTTACTTATATCAAGATTTCAGTTCTTGGCTTTCATATGAAGCATTTTATTCATTAGATTACAAAACTTCTAGTCTCATCATCAATTATAGTAGTTTCTTGTAGAAAACGGCAATCAAAAACTAAAAGACATTCGGAATCTCCTCTTTAGGTGGTAAAATACGATTCAAATACTATTTTGATGATAAGAAAAAGCTAAATTCGCTTCAAGCATCTTGGTATAAGTTAATTTTCTCTTCAGCTAATTTCACGGCGCTACACCTTGAGCTAACTATTACCTTTATTAAACACAAGACTGCATTGGCTCTCTTCGGTTTTAGGCACACTTTGCGTACGCCATGCTATACTACGTAAATGTACAATTTCAGTTTTTTTTGTCAGTTTTTGTTTCTTCTTGCTGTGTTGATTGTGATAAGTGAATGAAATTACAGACCACATGATGGTAGCTTAGCATATGGACATCACACATTGCGTCACAGGAATAACAAGTCGAAGTTTCAATTGTAATGATTACATTTTGTGATTGGGTAGATGAGCAGATAGTCCACGTGATTGCAAGTGGTCACCGTCACTCCTTCCTCTTCCTAATTATTTCATTACTTTATCGAAGGCACTTTTTGACGTCCCAAGAAAAAGTGTGAACGTTTATGAAAAAACTTAAAAAAGACAAAATTGCAATAAAAATTTAAACATGGTACCACTGCCAAAAATTTAAATTACTGAATCAAAGAATGTTAGAAAATAATGTAAAAATTCTAAGTATATCAAGGAGCTTCGGAGTAAATCAACAAACTTATTTACATAGAAACTTTTGCCCGTGCCAAGAACATTAAGCACATAAATCAGTACCCGATCGTTATTTTTATGAATGATTTGTACCATGGCTTTAGCTTTAATCGAATTTTGTGACAGTCAGCTGGATGAACCAAAACAGTTAGAAGTTATTTGCATTTCATTTATAATTTGGTATCGTTTAGAGCTAGGCTGCAATTTAAAGAAGAAGAAAGAAAATCATTTATTCGCCAAGCATAGTGAAAATGAGTTATTACATAAGTTAAAAGCAGCGTGTATGCTTTGTCATTATTTGACATGTGAATTTTAGTGCAGTGCAAAATATTATAATATTATATAATTTACCATTCATTCATCCATGATTCAACTAATAATTAAAAAATCCTTTTACTTTTTGTTTATATTTTAAAAAGTTAAAAATGTTCCCGATTAACTTCCACGGTGAAGGAATGTTATTCCTGTGTAATACGAATCAAACCCACCAAATAATAATCTAGGTAATTACTGATGGTAGGACGTCTCGTGAGTCTGCGCGGGTAGGTACCACAACCCTCCCTGTTTCTGTGGTTAAGCAGTAATGCGTTTTGGTTTGAAAGGTGGGGGGCAGCCGTTGTACTGTAAAAACTAAGGCCTTAAAACTCATATCTCAAGGTGGGTGGCGGCATTTACGTTGTAGATCTCATGGGCCCCGGTAAACACTTAACTCCAGGTAGTCCATGAACTAGTCCGCCTATCTAAGCAACAAATAAATCCCTTTCCCATCTACGCTAATAGAATAAACCGCCAATCAGCCATTAAAAATTGAAACAACTAAAAATGGTCGTATTGTAACATCGTGTAAGCCAAATATAGCAATTTTGCACTGCCATTTGAATCCAGGCCATTATTCAGTACGGAATCACAGTTGACGGGATCGTTGCCTCCACGGACCCCGGACCGAGCCGTACTGCGGCGACGATTAAAGATATTTATGTACACTATACCAGGTAACGTTTGTTATTACCCGAATGTATTTCAACGTGATATATTAAAGGAATGTTTTTTTTTTGTATTAGTTTTTATTGTTTTGATAGTTAGACGACCTCACGGTCCACCTGGTGTCAAGTGGTTACTGGAGTCCATAGACATCTACAACATAAATGCCGCCACCCACCTTGAGACATGAGTTCTCAGGTCTCAAGATACAGCAGCTGCACCACCCTTCAAACCGAAACGCATTACTGCTTCACGGCAAAAATAGGCAGGGTGGTGGTACCTACCCGTGCAGACTCACAAGACGTCCTACCACCAGTACAGGTGTAGGTGCTGAGCTGCGTTACATGGTAACCGAAGCGCATAGATATTGGAACGTGGACACCACTTTAAAACATGAGGTCTAAATTCTAACTTTCGAACGTCCACTAGCGACGGTGACTACTTACCATCAGATGAGCTGTGTATTAGTCTAATTTCTTTAATGTTATTTTTTAATTTCAAATATTAAAACATTTATAGGAAATATGTAAGTACATAGCTTTTATTCTAAAACCTTAAATGGAATCTTGTGATTATGGAAACCTTCAGATTTCACGGATCCCCTATTTGTATTGAATAGTGAGATAGCCACCATAGAACACAAGATATTTGACAGGTGCCCTGAATCTCGCTAATGAAAGTTTTAAGATAACAACAACATTTGGACGCTTCGGTCTACCGAGCAATTCCGTACGCTCGGTGAAAATCTTTCCTTTGTCGTCAACCTCCAAAGGTAGTTTGTAATTCTTGGAGAATCTTAGAATTGTCGTAACAGGCACTAAGGTGCGCAATACACGGTCAACTTACACTTCAGTTTGCATGTCTAGTCAGTTCAAACCACGCGGCCACGGCTTCATTGATAAATCTATGCTATTCGAAGTATGAAGTTAGCAAAATTGTATAACTTTTACACGTTTTATATTAGCTTCACTTTTTTTTTTATTGCTTATATAGGTGGACGAGCTCACAGCCCACCTGGTGTTAAGTGGTTACTGGAGCCCATAGACATCTACAACCTAAATGCGCCACCCACCTTGAGATATAAGTTCTAAGGTCTCAAGTATAGTTACAACGGCTGCCCTACCCTTCAAACCGAAACGCATTACTGCTTCACGGCAGAAATAGGCAGGGTGGTGGTACCTACCCGCGCGGACTCACAAGAGGTCCTACCACCACTTGTATGTTTGTTTGTAACTGACTCCTTTAGACGCGATTTTGACCCACTTTAAACGGCCAGATTTCATTCAAACTTTATAGATTTATCGAGAACCGATGACAATTCAACATTAAAAGAAATATTAGAAAAAAAAATTGAAAAAATTGAAATTCAACTAAAAAATGAAAATTAAATAATAGTTCAAAAAAACTAAAAAACACGCTTTATATAAAATTCAACTAAAAATAGAAAATAAGTTTTAAAAAAATTAAATTGAAAATAGAATAAAAAAAAAAATTATTGTAAAAAAAGCATGGGGTGCATGGTGCTATTAGTTAGAAATATTTTTCTGACAGATATGAGTAGAAGAATTATAATTTTAATAATATCTTAAAATGCACCCCACGCTTTTTTTATAATAAAATATATTTTTTTTAACAACGTTAAATAGTTGACATTCCTCGTCTGTTCCTTATCATGTCATGTTTGTCTCATATCGTCATTCACATACTCCATCCATGTCTACTTCTGCGACCTCTTCCCCCTCTACCTTGCACTATGTATTTCCATACATCTCCTAGTCACATGCATCCTTGTCCATACCACGCTAACCGAAACCTTTCTGAGCGCTATGACATCTCTATTTCAAGGATTGCGGAGACTGGTAGTCAGCGACTTAGCTATGCCTTTGGCACTACCGATGTGCATGAGCGGCCGTAGCCCCTCAGCATCAGGTAGAAAGCAGGCTTGTCTGTCGCTAGAAAAAAAACTAATAGTATCTAAGCTTGACCGATGCTTGAACAATTAATTTTAGCTTCACGATTGACTTCCACGATGTAGGAATGACATAGTATGGCATATTCTAAAAGAGCAACAAACCGGCTGATTGTAGCGTAATGCAGTCATGCGTCTCTGTTTGAAAAGCCATGTAAAATGCAATTGCAGACCATTTCGTATGTTAAATAAATGAATATTAGCGTTATGATGTCTGTGGACATCAGAAAGTACTCGCTGAACCGTGAAAGCGACGGCACCGATGGCATTAAAAACTTAAGCGCCTGTTAAAAAATAGAGCAATCTAATTATTAATTTTTTGCTATTCCTTCACTACTTCGACCGATTATTGTAAATCTATAATATATACTAGAGGTCCCGCAGTAGTTGAAATTCGACTATAATTAATTGGAATTGTAAGTTTGTACACTATTATGATTGTATTTTATACTTCTATAATCACAAACTTCGCCAAGACTACACAATAAAAAATATTAACAAAGACAAACAATATTTAATCTATTCTCAATTTGACAACAGATGTCAAGAACAAAAGTTTGACAATAAATCGTATGCATGCGTGTGTGCGTCAAATACATGGTATGTAGTATGTGTAATGTTTTCTTTATTGATTTAATGTATGTTTTATGCATTATTTTAAAAAAATATTAGCATTGTGCACTTCTTCTCTATATTCTCTATAAGTGTGGAAAATTTCATACTCCTCCGTCCGCGCAATTTTTGTAAAAAGGGATACAAAGTTTTTGTTTCACGTATTAAGTAATATATAGATCTCTATATACAAAAATGAATTGCTGTTCGTTAGTCTCGCTAAAACTAGAGAACGGCTGGACCGATTTGGCTAATTTTGGTCTTGAATTATTTGTGGAAGTCCAAGGAAGGTTTAAAAGGTAGGTAAATATGAAAATGCTCGGAATTACATAAAAATAACAATTTTGTTTTTCCTTTTGAAATAAGAGAAAACCTTTACTGAATATAAGGTTTTAATAAGCTAAAATTAACAGTAAAAT